GAAAAAAAAAGAAATCATCGTTTTGCTCAAAAATTATTATCCTAAAAGGCTATAATATATTCTCTTCTAAAATAAGTGAATAAGAGTGTAAAACAAAATTTAATCTCCAGGCAAAAAATTTGTCATCGAATGACCTATATCCCTGGGTTCTCAGAAAAAAATCAACAACTTTATATGTTATAATGAAGTTACGCATAGATTAGCTTTCAAAGTCAAAAATTCACTAAAACACCACTTTTTAAAAAATAAAAACTCTAATGGACAAATTGGATGAGTACGATGTCGTATATAAAATTCCATATAAAGGTACCGGTTCCAACATATGTCAGCAGAAACAACAAAAACAATGTAAGGACGAGAATCTGTGGTTATAAAAATAACATAAAGAGCAGATCAACTTCCAGCGATTAAAAGACAGTATTACCGACTCATTACTCTACGATAAGCCATACTCCAAATTTTGAAGATGTACAGATCATAAGTATAAAGTCAAATTACAAATGTAGACTAATGCTAGAAATGTTACATAGATTTGTTGAATGCTAAACCCCGATAAAAATTAAAAACTTGAAAAAAGAAATATAAAAAGAAACCAAGAAATATATTTTATGTGGTATGTTTAAAGAAATGAAACTAATTATTTGACGAAATGCATCCTGACCACTGAATATATTGGGCAAAAAGTAATAATCATTTTTCAGTTCGCTGGACAGTGAAGTTCAATAACTTTAAAACGGTTAATTGCGTGTGATAAATTTTTTTCTTTGACAGACTTCAGACCAGTTGTTTTTAGTAAATATATTATTTATTTTGTATTAAACATTATACCAAAAAAAATTGCTTTTTTAAAAATTTTAATTATAAGAAAAAAGGAGACGAAATATATATATGATATATTGAATTTCGTAGTTGAAATTTGAACATAAAAAAGATGTTTCTAGCTATAATCAGAGGGAATAAAATAGATCTAATTGAGGAAACTATTTAGCAAGTATGATATCACTGAAGAACTTAAAAAGCAATCAACCTATAGAATACTTTAAATTATTTCATGAATGATTGCTGGATGAATTATGGATTTCATCTACAAATCGATTTTGAAACAGATCAAGTCTTTTTAGCAATCGTATACAATAATTCAAACGAAAACAAGCTCCATAAATGGTCCAAGAGAATGCACTTCTTCCATCTTTGAGGATATAGTAGTTCGCTTGTGTTGCAAATAATGAATACACAATACAAATGGTTGTGGCTCTTGCTCCCTGTTATTGACAAATCGTTTCAGGACATAAACCCGGCTATTACTAGAACTAAAGACAGTAGATTCCCGTTTTCTTGAATAGAACTTTTAAATTATGAAATTAAATTGCATAGAATTTAATTAATTAAAAATGTTCTATTTACAAAATCAAGATATTACTTTATTAGCATTTTCGTTTCTATTATTATCTAAATAATTTTATTTTTAATTTTCATGTTCATATAATTTTAATTATTTAATGAATAATACAAGGCTTAATAATAGATGAAAGATTTTACGTTTCTCACGCTATGAAAAAATGTGAAAATAAAATTAATTAAAATCAAATTGTATTGCAGTTTCCTAATTATATATTTGCAGTCAAATAAATTATAACAAATTACTGTATAATTTCCATAATAATTACTTTTAAAATATGTAAGCAAAATATTACAACTAAATATTGCAGTTATAAAACTGTTAACTGAATAATTGAATAAAGAAAGCTTTACTATGGAAAAATTTATTCACAAAAGTGATTAATTATTAACAATTAATTCAAATTAAATAATAACTAATTGCAGTTAAGTTGATTTAAATATTTTTACTGTCATTACTGTAATAATAGGTAAGAATGCACGTGCAATAGATTATAAAATGATAGATGGCTAACTTCAGCCTTATAAATCACCCCTTATGAAGCAGTTAGAATTTAGCTTTGACATAACTTTATTCCATGAATTCCTTTTCGCAAAATAATTAGAAGTGCATTAACAATAATTTTTGAGATCTGAATTATATATTAAGACAATAATATTCTACTCGTATTACCAAATTGATAGCATTGCACAGATGGTTTAATTGCAGAGAACATATTCTTAAGTTCATATATTAAAATGTAGAGTTTAGAACGTATATATATTTATGTATTTATTTAAAATGTATCTATATAAACTAGAAGACTAAATATAATAGTAATTAAATATAAATGTCTAATGTAGCTTAATTTATTAGAGGTCTGAAAATACAACTCTATGAATAAGATCGAATAACCGAATAAGTTTTAAGGATTTATTTAATCCATCCATATTTTAGAAGGTTTATCAGTCGCATAAATTTATACAAAAAAGTTGAATTTGTTAAAACAATCTGCTCTTTAATTTCCAACTGTGTATCGAGGGGTCTTAGAGTTTTACTTTGGGCGTACAAGCGTTGAAGATTGGGATCCACGTATTGGGAATACTTTGGGCGTACAAGCGTTGAAGATTGGGATCCACGTATTGGGAATCCAAAAAGTACAACAACACCAAAAATCATTAAGAAAGTCTACGATATTATTCGTAGAGAATTTGACTAAGCGTGAAATTACTGATACCATAGGCATTTCAGACGAATAAGTAGTCAATATTTTAAGAAACAAATCACGTAGAAAAGAAGAAGAAAATATTCGAAAGTATGTGCCACATTCATTAAAAATTCAACCAAAACTGAATCGAAAACAAATTTCTCAGCATAAACCGTAGCTGTTTCGTTTTTTTATAACTACAACTGAGATCTGGATATACCATCATTATCCCAAATTGAAACTAGAACGTTTACAGTGGACTGAAGCTGGTTGTTCAGCTCCAAAACAGGTGAAGTCAGAAAGATCGGAAAAAAAAAGTAATTGCATCTATTTTTTGGGATGCCAAAGCAATTTAATTAATTGCTTATCTTGAAATAGGCAAAAAAATTAATTCTAAATATTATTGCAACCTTTTGGATTAATTAGATAATAAAATAATTGAAAAAAGACTCGGCTTACGGAAAAAAAAAATCAAATTCGGGTTCATACAAGTGTTCTGATGATAGCGAAATTTAAAGTATAAAAATACGAATTGCTTAAACACCAACCGTATTCTCTAGAACTAACTCTCTCTTACTTTTATCTCTTCAGAAATTTGAAAACATTTTTTGTCGAATAAAAAAGCCGTCGAATAAAACAGTATTTTGCAGAGCTTCCGGAAAAGTATTACAGAGATGGTATAAAATATGGAAGTCAAATATAAATATTGGAATAAATGTACTGAAGTTGTGAGAGACTATTTTTAATAAAAATATTTTTTGAAAATATTCGCAATTTTTTATTTTGGTTTTTAAAACTTTTTAACTAACCTGTATTGTACAGACGCATTTCTTACACAAATACTTTAATTTAGTCTATATTTTGAAATATCTTAAAATAATGAAAAATTGAAGTCTTACATTATATTCACGCCGTCTCATTTAGGCACTTGCTCATTAATTTTAATGAGTGAACGTTCACATTATAATGAGTTTATTTATGCAGCTGATAGAAGTTTTAAAAACTTTTATAAAATTCACTTAATAATACTAAGAAAAAAATTAAATTTATAGTTGATATATTTAATCATTGATGTACATTTTATATATCAATTTTATATTTAATTAATAAAAACAAAGGTTTTATTAAATACCTGCTTCCTCAGTGCCTTTGTTTACAGCTCATTGTTTGTATACATTTTACATATAAGGCTATTGACACATATTTTGGGAATTTCCCTTGTGGGAAATTTATTTTTAAGTGTTGCATTTGACTTTTTTCGCCATAAATGAGCTAATTTTTTGATAATGTGTTCATTTATTTAAAGACACTGTGTATGATAAATCATCTTCATTAGTGGGTATAAAGAGGAAAACTGCCTAAATGAGACAGCGTGAATGTACTATTAAGAATTCACATCGTACAACTATAAAACTCATAGTTTTTATTTTAATAAAGTTATTGTTTTCAAAATAAATTTGCAGTTTATTAACTACTCTTCTACAATGGCTTAAATTAAGAAGAAACAACTTTTTGTTTAACAAAATTTTAGCAACAAAAACTTTAAAGTACGTTTGCCATGAAATAAATTATTTAAAAATAATCCTTTTTTGTTTATGTTTTTTTTTTTGGTTTTATTTGTAAATGACAAAGTAATATTTTGGAATTAAGCCACTGCATTATGGCAACATTTAACGCTGCTGAGGCACTCTGTGGTGAAAACAGAGCAAAATAGAGCAAAAATATCGCAAATGCACAAATGTTGAGAGGCGCAACAATTTAAGTGCACACTATAAACAAAACCATAAAAATAATGTTGAAAGCAGAACTTTTAATATTGTTGCAAACAACTTAAAGATGGATTACCATAAAAAATGTGTTTAAAGTTTTTACTTTTTTCTGCAGTGTTTCTGTGACAAATGCTGTCACTAATAACATTGTAACAGCACGCAGATAGAGGAGCGCACAGCTGACGGACAGACAGCAAGCAAACCTCGAGACCCAGAGACGTCGCGACGTCACGACGTCGTCTGACGGAATCTACAGTAAAAGTTGCTAATGCTGCGGAGGAAAGTTTCACAGTTTCCAGCGCTCCAAGACTTGTGCTGAAACCTCTGCGGTTGTTACTTCAACTGCAACCAACTATGAGCAGAGCAAATGCTGTAAACTTGTTCGGCAAGAAGTTTTAATCACTTGAATTAGGTTTATGGCAACTTTGTCAAGGTTATATGAGTGATTATGATGACGTTGATTAAAAGATTTCTGTCAAATTTATTATTTTTTCAAGTTGTGAAAAGTTATGAAATATTTTTCCTCGCCTTTATGAATAACAAAACTGTTTGAAAACTTGCTTGTTTGTTGCTAAGCAATTAATGAAATATTAAATTTTTGTTTAAACTGTAAATTGCAAGCCGTAAATCACAAATCACTACTCACCATAGTTGCTTGTCCATTTTGAGCAATATTTTCATCGTCGTAGCTTATCACAGTGTCGGTGCTATCGCTAAAACCTCGTCCGGCTTTTGGTATTCTACTGCTGTAGTCAGTTTGCTGTTCGTGTGGTATGCCAAAAATAAATGGTCCATTGGTATTCTGTTTGACTTCAGTGTAGTTCGTTGTGTATTCCATATTATGGCGATTACAAAAATCATCCTCAAATCTGGAAGTATTACCTACATTCGCATAATTTTTCTCGGAAGCGATAATATTGCTATGGCTCGTTTGCACTTTATTGGAGTAATACTCTGCCTCATTAATATCATTACGATAGGAAGGAGTGGCATAATCTGCATACTCGTAATTATTAATGTTACCATAACGTGGCACTGCTGCTGTAATGCTGGTTAGATTGCTGGCAGTGTGCTTTACTTGCGTTGTCAGCGTATCGAATACGAAATCATTGGAATTGGCAGTCGGAGACGGTGGACTGCCGTAAGGATAACCTATATGTGGACTCTGCAAATGCTTATTATACTGCTGTGATAAAATATCGAAATCATTAAAGCCATGCAAACCCTTAGCACTGTCTCGTTTTTGTTGTTGCACGTAAGGCGAAATATAAGATTTCTGTTGCTGGTCCTGATAATGATGCTGATGTTGATGTTGATGTTGATTTTGAAGCTGTTGATGTTGTTTTTGTTGGTGTTGCTGTTGTTGTTGCTGTTGCAACATTTGATTACTGTTGACGGCATTGTATTTTTTCTTATTCAACAATTGCGGCTTTCTTTCGGCGAGTAGAGGACGTTGTGAATTGTTGAATGGATGGTCGCGTGATGTCATAATGGATGCTGTTGTTGAGTACATTGACATGTTGTCATCGTCGTCTTGCATTGTATAGACATTATAATGTTGCTGATGTTGATGTGAATGTTGCTGTTGATGTGAATGTTGCAGCTGATGATTTGTTGCATTGTAATAATTGTGTGTGATTGGCGGATTTGGTGGTGGTAATGGTGGCGGTTGTGTTCCTGCGGTATTGTTAAAAAACTTTGCCAGTTTAACCGTCATTGCTGTAATTGTCGGTGTATAGTTGGTTGGCAATCGGTTGCGAAACAGTTGAAAAATGTTGCAAGCACGTTTTCAATTAAAACCAAAGTCGCATGCACTTTTCACCCACTGGTCGCGTTGTGATGGTAGCGACAACTCTGTGTACGTGTTGACAGTGGTTTCCTTTGTTGCTGGTTAGTTTGCTTTACGGTTTCCTGTGAATGCTTCTATACATGGAGTTCTGCAATAAAATATAAAAACGAAAAGGAAATTTTCAGTCAGTATTTTTTTTCAGTATTTCTTTTTTTAATTTTATTTTAATTTTCTATAAGAAGCAGTAAATAGATGCGAAACGGATATTATTTTACGCTGTCGGCTACTGCTGTCGTTGCTTTTTGTGTGTCATTTCCATTTTGCAACATTACTCAGTTTGCCACAGAAGTTTTTTCTACTTCGTATTTGGTCCACAATATCAAACTGTGTTAGGAAGTAAAATCAGTGGCGTATATGGAAAAATCTTCAATAAGGAGAGAAACTAACAGACTACTAACTAACAATTTCTCACTAATTATTTTCAATACGTATTTTTTATCAATCTCGTTCATCATCTTGTAGATTTTTTCGAAATAATAAATTTTTTAGGAAGATATAGATCAAGCACTTATGATAAAATATATATACTTGAATATCACTAAATTAATATATGTGATAATGATGATTTGCTCAACTTAATGAGATTCAAATTGTTAATCATATTATAAACAACAAATTATTAATTTATTTATTTGTGAGTTGACATTAAAATTAATTTTAAAGTTAATAAAGAATATGAAACTGGACTACTATGTCCACGTCCTATAAACAAGAAAAGGAAGGCACAACTCGAAGTAAGGAATATAATATATTGTTCATTTTAAAAGCTAATATTTAACTAATTTTTAACATTCGTTTTGATGGAAGAAATTAAATTTTTAATACAAAATATTGTTTTCAATGAAGAGGTATTTTGAACAGTAGTTAATTACAAGAATAAAATTTTATTATTTATTAATTAATTGAATTTTTGGCTGATCATACAGCTGTTTCGAGTATTGCAAAATACCCAGGATCAATGATCTTGGAATCATTTCTTATGTTTGATTATTCGTAAATAATTGTTTTAGACTGCGAGTACCAAGGGTTGAATTCGTGCTCTGCCAAATAAAATAAAATAAAATAAAAAAAAATAAAAAAAATAAAAAAATAAGTTAAGACATGATAAGAATAAGTAGAACAAGTAGAACAATGCGATTATGTCTCACTTTTGCACAGCTAACCGACTACATCGGAATCCCAATATATATCCCAATATATATGTCAATAGATAAGGACATCTTATCATCAAACAGGGTAAAAACTGCCAACCCAGTAACCCCGTTTTGTTCCAGTAATCTCATTTTGACCTAGTAATCTTTATCTAGCTCAGATCAGAGCCAGACTATCACAAAGAATAACATAAGAGGTCTCAACCGCCTCTAGGCAGAATCGACTTTCTGTCTCCTATGACAGATCTGTCATTTTTCGGATGGCAATGTAGGTCATAGCGAACCAGTAGATATCCTACAAGTAACCTCAGCTCTGTTTTTTGAAAATAGGCGTCGAAGTTTTTAAAAATAAACTATCTCTCCAGTTTGGCGTTTATAATATTAAAAAATTTTAAATAAAAAAGAATATTTAATAACTTTTTATTTTATTTGTTTTTTTTTTGTAATTACTTTATGATAACAAATATACAGATGGGGAAGCTATCGAATCCTATAGGGCGGGAACGATAAACTATCTCTCCAGTTTGGGGTTTATAATATTAAAAAATTTTAAATAAAAAAGAATATTTAATAAATTTTTATTTTATTTGTTTTTTTTTTTTAATTACTTTATGATAACAAATATACAGATGGGGAAGCTATCGAATCCTATAGGGCGGGAACGATTTCGCTCCGATGTGTTCGATCTTGTGCTATTCGCTTAATTTCTCGTCAAATACCCAAGTTCCTATTTTCTGCATGTATCGAACGTATCTAAACTATTGTGGGTCTTCCACTTCTGCGTATTTCCCTGCAGATTTCACTCGAAAGCCATCCTTCGAGTGAATGGATTCTTCGTTTTTTCTCAGCATTCATTTTAAAAATGTATTGGAATATTCCAAAAATTCTGAATGTTTCTACTTTTGACACTAATAAATAATAGTATAATAATAATATACTAATAATAATAATAATAATATTAATTAATAAAATGAATTTTTATTATAATAATATAGTATTTAGGGTAATAATAAAAATGTATTTTCCATATACCCTCTTAAAATGAAAGAAAATATAGTTTCTATGCCACTACTATTTCTATTGTCCAGGGAAACATGAAAATATTATATATAGAGAAAAAGGAATAGATTAAAGTGGGAATAGTAAATTAACATAAATTATGAGCCACTGAGACAATGTTTAAGAAAACTCTAAGTACATAATCCTCTTTTAAAAATTTCTATTAATCAGAAGACAAATAAAAGTTTTTTTTCTTTTTTAAAATAAAAGTAAACTTTAAGTTGTTGATTAAAATAAAAAGCGAAATTTAACTTAATTAAAAATGTTTTCTTTATATACCAATATACAATACAGTTTTTAATTATTTTTTTCATTAGTGTTTAATTGGCATTGTTATTTCATAAATAAATTTTATTTGAATAGTTGATTTGAGATTTTTAATTGTTGAAGCGAAGACATATAAAAACGTTATTTAACAGTTTATTTATTATATGTATTACAACCTATTCATTTTGATAGGTTTTCCTTAGCAGTTTTTTTCACGTATATGGAAGAAAAACATTTGTTTAACAAATAAAAATTTTAAAACTGTTAAAATTATTGCATTTTAATTTATATAATAATTGTATGCATTAATTGAGTAATTAAATTCTTTCAGTTATTTTTAGTTATAAGTATTTTTCTGTTTTCAACATCTCAATTATAATAATAGTTTGTTATGCATATATTAATTTAAGAGATTATTTATTATTAGTTTTAAAATAATTTCAATAATTATATTAAAAATTCAATTAAGTACCTTTATTATTAAATAAAAGTTTTCATTGAAGTCATAAAAATTACATGGGTAATCACGATTATACAGCAATCAAGCTATATCAATAATTAGAGAGTTCTTGAGAAAGTTCTTGATATTATTAAAAACTCATCCTTGATGTTAAGTATAGGATCACCTTAACTCTATATTATAAGATACACTGATAATGTTTTTTTTATTATATAAAAAACAAAAAAAAGTGATTATAAAAACACTTTTGTTTTATCTGTATTTTCTAATTATGTGTATAGGTAAGTATTAATGTTGTAATTGAGGGCAAATATTACCAATAAAAACAGAAACTACTAGTCGTATATGTCATAAGATTGTATTATCTAATGAATATAATTAATTATAATTTAATATAGCTTGGTAAAACACTTCTTTTTACGCCAACGTCAGAGTCTTATTGCTCAGTGAATCTTCTGGACTACATATAGGCCTTAAAAATGTGTCTTTTTAGATCTGAAGAGATCTGGGAATAACTTTGAAATTAAGAAATTTTGAGTTCCAATTTTAGTTTTTTTGTTCTGAAGTGGTCAAATGAGGCACTATGTGCTGCCGGCATGTTTTAGAACAATACAACTCAACCCAAAGTGCACTTTGGGCCGAAATAAAAAGTCGGATACCGATGTATATAGCCAAAAAGGGTACTTACTTAGCTTAAGCTTCATTTTAATAAATTGAAAAACTATATTCATACATATGTGTGTACAGTAAGGCTCTACTAATTCTAACCAATTGAAATTGAAGCCGCTCCGAATTATTGAGACATTAAGATTCCAGAAGTTATATTAAAAATTCAGAAAAAGTCTTTATAGAGACATTTATATATTTGGCTTGACAATAAAAACTGAATAATAATCTATTATTCATTAAATAAATTCATAAAATAAATAACATATTCAAAAATAAATATTATAACATTTACGGTATCAACATAACCTATAAATGTGATTAATTTTACTAGGCTATCAAGCAAACATGTTCATAATATGGATTGTAATTTTAAAATACATAATGAATATTTTGTATTTCATAAACTTGGTAAACTGTCAAATGAAGTATCAAAATATAGACTAGTGTCTCTGATTCTAATGCTATCCAAAGTTTTTGAAAAACTTCTGCATATGGGTTTAGTAGAGAATATACCAAATAAATATATCCTTTCCTACCAATTTGAATTTCACAACCCCCTCTTAAAAATTTACTAAGTACACAGTGTGGTAAATACAATTTAATCTATAAAAGAAATGGAAATAATATGTTATGTTCAGTCGTTTTTTTCGATATGTCCCAGACCCTTTGTAAGGTCTTGCGTATGGTAATAAAACAAAAATTAAGGACTAATAGCTCAAAAAATACAAATACGACAAAATCGTTTCTATTGAGTAAGTCTACACCACGAATAGACTTGCAAATCATGCAATAATACGCGAAAGCAGGAAATCTATGAGCTCTGAAAGAATTCCTGCAATTAAAAAAGATTCAATCGTTGCCTTATATATTTTGTCCGGATTTAAGGGAATTCCAAATACGAGAGTTTTGGACTAGGGACAATTTTTTCTCCTTCTTAATTTCTTGTGAAGCATAGGACGGAAATTTACAGTAAGGGTATACAGGATACACTAAAGATGAGCTACGAGGTAGACCGAAATATCTGTAATGGTGATATTTTTTATATAAATTAAAATATAATTAAAATAAAATTAAAATAAAATAAAATTAAAATAAAATTAAAATATTTAACACTTGATTTGTGTGTAATTTTTTTTAAAAATTTTTTTCATAATGTCATGTTTTTAATAAAGGTCGTTTTAGTCCGGTAATAATGAAAATATAATAATTATTTATTTTAATTATTTAAAATTTTTTTAATTAATTAAAGTTTATTAATTTTAATTTTTTAAACAATAATTACATTTATTAACTTATAGTAATACTTCTATTTTGTTTTGATAATACTGCCATTGTATTCTTTATAATTTAATTTTACTATAATTTTTACTTTTATTTCTGAAATACTGACTGATGTTATTAACATGTTTCTACATAAAAAATATAGCAAAGGCATGTATGTTGAACGAATGTACATGCGCTGCCCTTCACTCTTGCACTTAA